TTACATCAAATGTGAAATGCTAATATGCGCAGAGGCACAACAGAAAGGCTCCTTCATTGTGCAGTACAGCCGGGATTGCATAACAAAGCTTGCATTCAAGGGTCATGTCCTTGCTCCCAAAACTCGAGGCTGGCACGGCACGAGGAGGTGGTGCGGACAGTACCGCGTCTTGGCAACCTTTGTCTCCCCAAAGCCTACGTTCATTGCCACAGTAGGGACTCATTTTAAGGCCGAGTTGACCTTGGTCAGGCCCAGGACAGGCTCAGATACGATGATCACCGGTGATATATGCATGGCCGAGAATGATTTTCCGTTTACAGGATTGTAGTGCAGTGCACTCACCATTACACGAACACACAAAGGCACAGATCTCCCTCTGGTTAGTCTCATAGATCACAAAGACAATTGATGTGGGCAAGCATCTGATAAGGCTGCCACGGGGCACAAGAGGATGGTTGTGGCATAAATCAAGCTCACCTGCCTTTGTCACCCAGCACTGATATTTACACACTGCACCAGGCACTCTTTGAGAGTGGAGTCAACATAGAAAAGGCCCAGGCATGGCTCTGATTTCAGTCTCCACTAATATTAGCCTTGGCCAGGCATCAAACTCCGGTGGACCGTTGTGCAATCTACTGCACCACCATGCACCAAGCAACAACAGCAGCAATTCACCACAAACTAACCGATGGGAACGTCACCAAAGTTCTTGTGCCAGGCTAGGTGCACTTTTTAGGCTATCATATGAGGCGTGGAAGTCGCAGGATTGACCCAGGTGTTACAGGTCGGCCGATGCGCACGACCCCACGCTCACCGCTGTGGCAACCTCTCCCGTCTGCTATCACCACAAACACACAGCGGGTCCACACGAGGAGAGGTTCGTGGGATTTGCGCCCTCTGGCACGACACCGCAGCTCGTGGCAAGGAGACCAAAAAAAACACAGCGACGTGCCGCGACACCGCAAATGTGCCAGCGCTCATCGCCCTCGCCTCTCTTCACAATTAACTCCCTCTTTGCGAGACGTGTGGCAGCCGAGCTAAGCATTCAATACACGGTGAAGATTGAAGGAGTATCGTACGTTCTTTGAACAAGTGCAGGTTACCGCTGAGTTCGGTGTTCGCGGGGTTTGCGCTGCTTTGCAGCTCTTTCAAATGTGCTGTCTGGGTTGTACCACGTGTTGTTCAGCACGATGTCCAACGTTTCGCTCCATTTGACGAGAGCTTCTTCCTACTAGGGAGGTAGTGATTATTTTGAAACATCTTACGGGGGGTTTAGCGGAAGGCCTTTTGCTTCGCAATGGCTGTGGTGCTGCCAATGTGTGCAATGACATTGGCTGTGGCGAGATGATAACTACCTCACCTGGTATGCAGGAGGGTGTGGATTCCATCCCAACCCTGACACCGGTATATTTGGAGTTTGCATGTCTCTTTCCCAGTGGTCGCATGGATTTTTCTCCGGGTCCTCCGGTTTTTCCCTCCACGTTTAGAATCCACATGTGTTCTAGACTCTTTGGCCGCTATACATTTCCACGTGACAAGCCACTTCGTTGAGCTATCATTTGTGGCCAGGTCGCTGAAAAAGTAGGTCTTACCTGGTAAAATAAAATTAGTTATAGTTGAGTTGGATAAAGATTCCCACACTGGAGTGTGTTCGTGTAATGGCTGGCTTGGAGGAGTCATTAATGGGAAGAAGGCACTACCACTCGAGTACAAGGTACGTCTATCGATAATAATTCTATATGATCGCATGGCATATTGGTATGATCTTATGAATAGGTTTCGGACAAAATAAGGCAAGATGGATGTTGCCCTGTCATAACAATCATTCCCAGGACAGCGTTGATTTGTTCCAGCTCAAATTAAAGACTATTAATAACCTGCTCTCTAATCGTCAACAGGCTAAGTTGGTGAACTTTGCATGTTTGTTTTAAAACGGTATGTAAAATAAATATAAATGAAATACAATGTTTGTAAAGGCACAATTACTTCGCTATCAATAACCCGCTCTCTAGTCGCCAGTAGGCTGGGTTGGGAGACTTTTCATGCTTCTTTTAATATGGTATACTGTATAAAACAAATGTAAAAAATGAAATGCAATGTTTGTAAAATGCACAATTACTTCATTTACATTTTGGTTGATTGCGAAGCCCTGTTTTTATAGCCACTATTCAACCCGACGACCGCGATGTCAGGGGGGCGATTACATTGAAAGACTCGCTGTGGATTTTGAGCTATTGAGCCATTCGATATTAATAAACTGTGACATTCTCAAATCCATTGGCCAGCCCTCGTACACACGTACACATGTACACACATACAACGCATACAGAGAAATGGCACGCCTGAGAGAGTTGACTCAAAGGATGTGTTCCAATAATAAATTCAAGACTTTGAGGTGCATTATTCCCAACGGGCACACATCTTCGAGATTAATGGGTGCGGTTTTGCAAGATTGTATTTTATTTTATGACTATGTAGGTCATTTTCCCACCATTTCTTGCCAAGGCTCCCACCGTCATCAGCCAGCAGGGGTAGAAGACATCTCTTCCTGTGCCTTAGTGGCAGGGATAGTCCCGATGGCTTACTTTTACAAAAAAAACCCACCGAATGTGGCGCCTGTAGTTTAAGAATCTTAGTTCATGTAACAATGTAATCGATTATTATTATTTTTACAATCACGATACAAACATTAAATCGTCCATGTATAAATACATTACCCATGTACATGTCAATTCACTGTTGGATGAGGGCCTCCATACAGGTCTTGTGGGTTTGTATGTCCATACTTCACCACTATCGTCATTGCCGGTTGGGGAATGTGGGGAGCATAGAAATGGCAGCAGAGTACAGCGCAACAACGGATTTTTCTGCACTGCCATCTGCCGCCAGAAACTCACACGCAATGACAGACAGCCAAACAATTTATGATAATTACAATATATGATAATTACATGCAGATAGGGGGTGGAAGAATGGCGCAGTGATGAGTATGCTGCGCTATGAACCAGGGGACCCAAGTTCAGTTCTACTGGACATCTCATCGGATTCCTCCAGTATATATGAATATCAAGATTCAAAGCCACGGCTAGCATCAGTGGCGAGTGATGTTAGAACCAGATCCCTGCCCTTGTCCCCCGTCACCAACTTGCACCGACCAGCATGGTGAAGTATGGTCAAATCCACCCCCATGACTGAACATGGCGAAAGGGAGGCCTTGACCCTTTGCTGGATGCAGAATTGGCGGAATTTAAGCCATTAACTCGAGAGTAAGACAAGAAAAAGAGGAATTGATTCTCGAATCGAATCACTGACCCAAAATAGCGGAAATTCAATGAATCTTCGGATGGAGTGAGTGAATTGCGCTACACGCCCAAGGAGCAGAGACCAAGTCTAGTAATATAGATAGAGTTCCACACAAAGAAAAACACCAGCGCTGACTGAATCGATGAACCAAGACATTGAAATGCTTGCGCAGGGGTGAGCCGAGTGTCGGAGACACGGGGACTACCGCAGTTCAGACGTAAAAAAAACACCACATGCCAGAGAGCATCAAAGTCAGTTTAACACATAACCGGCTTTCGCGACCAATATTATTCATAATAAAGGGGTTCTTTTTGGGTGACATCCCATAAATATGAATGTGTCGTTAACCCACCACCACCATCCGACACAGCCAATTAGTGAGGTCTGTCACGTAAACAAAACGTGCCAATTAGTTGCTACTTCTGCACACCGGTGTGCTGAAGAGCAAATCCACGACATTTCGAATTTTTAGTTTAGTGACGTTTCGCTGGTGATTACAACAGCCAGCTTCATCAGACGAATTGCCAAAAATTATGAAGTCACCATACTCGACTCACTCCTCTTGAGCACGCGCGTCGCTGCACGTGAAACGCGACCAGCGTACGCTCTCAAGCCGTGCCTCGCAACAGTGGTTTACATATTTACTATTTGCAAAGCAAATGTAGCCGGTGCCTGGTTATTTTTTGGTAAAGTAAATTTTTCTTTGTTCGGTATGAAACGGTAGGAAAAGAAACCTGCACGGTAGGAAGAGCCACACTTCAGACTACAATGCACAGGCGTCCTTGTCAGAAAACTAGTTGCCGTGCCGCCACCAGCTCATTGACCCCACAAATGTTTGTAAGTTGAACTTCTTTCGCAGCTTATGTAGACAACCGCGCTAATCAGAGGTGCGGGAGAAGGACAACGAAATGGGTATTTCACACAAATGATCACGGCTCGGTCTCAGAAAGATCTCCACTGCCACTACCAACAGCATCACCACTCACACGAGCACCACCGACACCACCACTACCATAGTCATTAGGACAGTTATCACTGCCACCAACACCAGGACAATCATTAACACAACCTTAACCACGACTGCCACCACCAAAGATGAAGACAAAGATCCCCCATATAGCCTTAACAAACTGTTGGGGCAAGTGCTGTTCGCGAGCACCTATGCAGGCCGGCACGGCACACAAGGGGGTGGGTGGCCAACACCACGCCCGGCCGCCTTTGTCTCCCCAGTGACGATATTACACATTGCACCAGGTACTCATTTGAGGCTGAGTCGACCTAGGGGAGGCCCAGGACCGGTTCCGATAATCGTCACTGGTGTTGGCCGTGAGCGCGAATTGAACCCGGGTCGCCAGGTTCGTAGCGCAGCGCGCTAACCGCTACACTACCGCTCCCCAACCACCAAAGATGAAGACAAAGATCCACCATTCAGGCACCACCGTGCTCACACTCACCACCATCACCGCCACTACCTCCACCACCAAATCCACCGCCACCGCTAACACCACCACAACGCCCACGTCCATCACCAACACCATCACCACCATCGTAACTGAGACCTTGCTGCAACCATTTCCAGTACCACTGCCACCGCCACCAGCGTCACCACCATTGCGACAACCATCGCTACAACCACCAACCATCATTCCCACCAGCATCTCCGCCACCACTGTCACCACCACCCTGGCTGGGCCCACCTTCTCGATCTTGGCATTCCTCCGCGCCTTGTAGATGAACTCCCCGATGGCGACGAACACGGAGAGGACGAGGCCGGCGGCGAGCACGATGAAGATGCCGCCGATGTTCTGCACGCCGAGAGCGCTCGCCTCATTGCTGTCTTCCTCGGGGCAGCCATTCCCGCGCCACCACTTCTCCTTCATCATGTGCAGCTTGCCCTCCTCCTGCAGCTGCAGGATGGCGATGGTGATCTTGTCCCGGTACGGGGAGCCTGCACGAAGCGCGGCGCAAACGCAGCGCAACGCCGCCGGCGGCAAGGGTTGGATTTTGGTGCGGCCAAACCTCCTGATCTTCTTACGAGCGGCGCAACAAACCACACACACGGGGCCGGGAGCCGCAAGACCCGCGCGGCGGGAGCGTGGACGCTTCACCGGCCCGCTGCTTGGCTGTGGAGTTTTTAATTTACAAATCCGCGGGCGCGTCCCGGGAGTAACTCGTGTCTCGCCCCAGCAGCATGGGCTCGTGCCCACGGTCATTAATGAACAACTTCGTGAGCGTCACCATTGGCCCGGTTGGCTACATACGGTGCGAAAGAAGTTCAACATACATATATACTTCAACGAGCAGTGTACCTTTCAGTAACTCTAAACATCTCTCTTCATATCACAACTGCATCTTCGCTGTCTTTTTTTGTACGTGCTTTTATTCTCGCATCTCCATTGTCTTAACAGCGGGCGCTGCCCCTGTCGACGTCCCGCAAGCACGCTCAACTTCCCCCGCCCCCCCCCCCAAACGTGACGTTATCCATCCAGGTGAAATATTCGTACGTATGTATGTTGGACTTCTGTCGCACCGTACATAGCAAACTGTGCTGATCGGAGGTGCGGGAGTAGTAAGTAAATGTGGGTGCCAAGGTGGCTAGATGTTAACTATCTCACCTTGCATACAGGAGGTCGTGGATTCAATCGCGACCCTGACGCCTATATATTTGGAGTTTGCATGTCTCTCTCTGCCCATGGTCGCATAGATTTTTCTCAGGGTCCTCCGCTTTTTCCCTCCACATTTAGAATCAACACGCATTTAGAGCATTTAGCTGCAAAAAATTCCCATGCTGATAAGCCGATTCGTTGAGCTTTCATTTGTAATAATGAGGTCGCTTCTGAAAAAGAGCTATATAGCTCAGTGGCACCGTACCTGGTAAAATAAAATACTTTTAGTTTATGTATACTCAGGACAACCGCTGTGACTTCCCCAAAACGTGGTAATTAATTTTATCAGGAGTTGAACTGGCAGCCTTTCGATTTCTGAGCCATTTGCTGTACCGCCGAGCCACCTGACCGGATATTTTCTTCCGCGTCAAGGATCGTCATACCAAACGCTGTTTATAAGGACCATCCTTCTAACCCGGCATTGCCTACTGGGTTGTTGTAGCCGGCTGTCCTCGGAAACATGTAGGTCTTCCCAGGACATCAAAATAAAAAAATACATATATATTAATTTTTTAAGCAAGTTAAGAAATTTAACTCCCCAGGGGAGCTCACCCAGAGGCGTGCCGATGCCGTAGCCCTTGTTGTCGATGAGACCGCCAATCTGCGTGAGGTTGCAGTTTCGCTGCGTCACGTACTCAATGTTGGTGGACTCCATGAGCATCGCGTAGTCCGTGGTGAGGACGCGTTGGATCCCCTCCTCGTTGTTTTTTATGAGCGCCGTCTGGCGGCTGCTCATGAAGGCCCACATCTTCTCGTACGTCGAGATCTTGGATTTCTGAGGGTGAGAAATACAAGCGCAAAGCAGATCGCGGCGGGCTGGCGGGCCACCGAGGCGGGCAGGCGGGCGGGCGGGCGGGCGGACGGGCGCGTTAAAGACGGCGGGAAAAGTGAGCCGGTTCAGCAGGTCGCGCGCACATGGTGGGGCAAAGTGTGGGCACTCCCTGCCCGCCCGCTCCCGAGATGTCCGGCAAGCGTGGAAGAGTAGGCCGCATTGCTCTCTCGTGGAAGAGGCTATTCGGCCAGCAGTGGGCACGAGCAAGCAAAATGAAGGGCTGCACCTTTACAAGCTTTTACAGTGGAAAAATAACGTTTTTGTTCTTTGCCCACATCACATGGCCCCGTATAGCAAAAGGCGAGGAACAAATGGGACTGTAACGTGCTTGCTGCACTGTCTTCCAGTCTGTTTGGTTTTCAGTTTGTTTGTTTTTCAGCCCTTTTCTCAATCCACTGCTGCGTGATGGTCTCCCCACACTGTGTTATTTGGCCATACTTCGCCACGCCGGTGAGTGGCGTACTGCCCTCTATGAAGAGAATCGGCATATGTATTTATGTTAGAGGAATCCGATGAGATATGTAAAGCTCTTTTTCAGACGTCCAGCTTATCGCACGGAAGGTGGAAGTCTCACATTGGCTCCGTATCCGAATAATCCAACAACAACGACCCCCCCCTGCCCCCGGCATAGCACCACATCTGCACACCACCACCACCGCCACCACACTCAGCCATAAAAAAATATATGTAAAATATTACTCAATTACCGTAACTCCAATGTGAGAGCTCATCAAGACTCATTAATTAATTCAGCAATTTCCATCTGTGCGATCGTAATAATAAAAATAATAATTCATAGCCTGTGGGATGAATGTCTCCCCCCCATGCCATACCGGCCCTGGGGGTTGTTGGGCCGCACTTCACAATGACGGTTAGTGTTCGTTGGTTCGGAGACTGGTTCAGATATCACCCACCACTGGTGCTGGCCATAGCCCCCCCCCATCTCCCCCCCGTGAACTCCTGCAGCCACGACTCTACAACCCCCCCCCCCCGCCTCCCATCCCTATATAACGCCACAAGAGCAGATTATAATTTCTTACCTGGTGACGGACGCTTGTGTTGCGACCGAAATGTCTTGTTTCTTTTATTATTTTTTCTATCTACGTGACTTTACCGAAAGAACCAGAGAGCATGGCCGGGTATCAAACTCAGATCGCCGTGTTCATAGCGCCACAATGCTCACCACTGCGTCACCGATCCACCCGTGCAATCATAGCAATGGAATTTGAAAGTTTCTCCATGCCAAAAAAAAAATAGGTAAAAAAATTGTTTTGCAAGGCACACACTTTTATTTGCCCTCAAAAGTAGAAAATTAATTATTTTGACCCCAGAATTAATCAAAGTTGATAATTTGATGTGTTGAATAAAATTGGGTGGCTTGCATACAGAAAATTAAACACATCGAAAGGAAGCCACCCACTTTTATTCAGCACGTCAAATTTGATAAATCCTGGTGTCAAAATAATAGATTTTCTACTTTTGAGTGCAAATAAAAGTGTGTGCATTGAAAAACTAGGTTTTTTTTACTTAATCATTTTTTTACCATGAAAGCTATTGCAACAAATTAACTGCTATGTTATTTTACCAGGTAAAGCCCACTCGAGCTATGTAGCTCTTTTTCAGAAGCGACCTGGCCACAAATGATAGCCCAATAAAGTGGCTTATCATGTGGAAATATACAGCGGCTGATTATCAAAGGACGTGTTTCTAAATGTGGAGGGGAAAAAGCGGAGGACCCTGAGAAAAATCCACGCAACCACGGGGAGAACATGCAGACTCCAAATATACAGCAGGTGTGAGGGTCAGCATGGAACCCACGACCTCTCCTGCTACTCGCCACTGCGAGATGTTAATTGTTAAGAACAGCATCACTATAACCCTCAACGCTTATGAACAAATCATCCGGACTTGGAATGCGCCCGATCTGGTCGGACCTCGAAAGCCAAGCAGATCTGAGCTTGGGCAGTGCCTGGATGGGTGCCCAACCATGCACAAGCCAGTTGTCATGGGGCAGTTTTACTGTACGTCTATGCCGCACGCCTTTACCAATCCGCACTGACCAGCCGGGGTGAAGTACGGTCAAACGGCCTCCACAATCAGCACGGCGTGGGGAGGCCCTCATCCAGCAGTGGATTGACAAAAGGTCTAGGTGCTCCTACGGGCATTGTGCGGCGCTCATCTCTACCAGTGACAGTTCCACATTCCCATGGCAGGGGCAATTTTAACAGCCATTGACGAATTCGCACAAAGTGGAACCTATTTTAAGACTGTAGCGATGATAGTGATGGCTTGCCTATGTGAACCCTTGACCCCTACAATAACTGAAAGCATGCGCATTGCTATACAACAGTCTACGTAATGAAATGATAGCACGCAGCACGGCTATTACAATTAGAATAACGATCACCACGATTGCAAAGTAGTGAAATGAAATTAAGACCAACACGATAAGTATAACACGCTTAACCGCATTTGCGGTCATTAAGTACTGTGCTGTAAGAAAGATGGTAAAACAGACAGCTACGGTATAACAATGCGCGCATATGCAAAGCTGTGCATATCCCGACACCGTATTCAACATGCACGGAATTAGCGCTTTACAGCGTTTATATGAACAATCACAATGAGGACATTTTGCCAATCAAAACACGGATAACATTAGGGCATTTAACTCAAAATCACGATCAGAGAGCTCACCTGCTCGCCCGGAACGGGCGTGACAAATGATAATATTATTTAACACGTAAGTAGGGCTTTCACGACCAATATTATTCATAATAAAAGTTTATTGGGGTTAGGTCGCTGATGTAAGTGTAAATGTGTCGTAACCCACCACCATCCAGCCAGTAAGGTTTGTCACGTAAACAAAACGTGCCAATTAGTTACAAGAACTATTCCGGCAAATCGCCCGATGATGCTGGATGCAATTACCCGCAAAACGTCGTACTACTCAAATGGTAAATTTTGTGGATTTACTCTCGAACACACCGGTGGGCTGAAGTAGTTATACCACACTATACACTACACTAATAATTAATTGGCACATTTTGTTTACGTGACAAACTTTACTGGCTGTGTCGGGTGGTGGAGGGGTAATGACACTTTTATACTTACGCGATCGTACCCCAAAAAAAACTTTCTCATGAACAATACTATTTATTAGGATTATAAATTGTTGGTCTCGCGCTAAGAATAGAACTACAGCGGCCGCTCCATCGCCATAAGGAGCAGCGATCTTCGCGCGCGTCTCTCATTGGTCAGAGGACCCCCCGCCCCAACAGCAGCCGCTCTGATTGGACGAGACGTGACCCCTCATAGCTGGGCACAACCATTCGTGATTTTAAATGGGGGGGGAGGAGGAGGAATGTGGGAGTGTTAATTAATTATTAAAATTAAGTTTAAAAATGAACATGAATAGGTCCAGGTTCGCCGGGACCTGGACCGGTTTTTGTTTTTTTCAATGAAATCTTGAATTGTCACGCGAGACGACAAGTCTGTGTGGAAAATTTCAGCTCGTTAGGCTTCGTAGATCCGAAAATATTAAGCGTCAAAAGGTTTGAAAGAATATAAACAGAACGGCAAGTTCATTAAAAGTGTGTAATAATAACCATGATGTGCCAATATAACTGTGTTGAGAAGATCCGAAGCTTTAGATGTAGGGATAGACCAGGTAGCTTCCGCACGGGCATTACACAGCTGATGAAAAGATAACGCCGCTCGAATGATTTGGAGTGAGCCCTCTGCTGCCAAACCGTATCTGGCCATAATCACACTGCCAAGGTATGGAAACTTTTCCACTCCCCCCACAACTGCCACATCACTCAGGGGGAATGGAGGGAGGGGAGCATTCAATAACATGAAATACCCAGGTAGGTGCTTTTTTCGTGAGGCCGATTGCAAAGCCCCATTCTCTTGGTAGCACGCTCCAGGTTCAGCAGTAGCATCCACAACTCGTTCTCAGAGTGGGCAGCAATCACAACATCATCTGCATAGAGAAGATGGGAGCGCCATAGGGAGCCATCCCATGACTGCACCCAGGCCTTCCATTGTATCTGAACCAGATGAAACCATATTGAGGCTCTGCAAGCATCTTCTCAGCATGCCTAGCAAGGCGATGTTCAATAATCCTTGCCAGGGCTTTTCCTGAAACACCGAGGACAGAGATATCCCGGTTGTGATTTCAATCAGTGCGGTCCCACTTTTAAAAATTGGGACCACCAGGGCATCCTTTCAATCCTGTGGAACCCGCCCTGTGGACCAGATGGTTGTAATGATGTCACGTAACCTTTAGGTGTGTTAATAAATGGCGGCTTGCCACTGCGTTGTCCGGGCCCTAGCCGAGCTTGGCCCCCGTCGAGTTTACATTTACCAGCAAATTTCCGGGCCCTAGCTGAGCTTACATTTACAAGCAAATGTATATCTCCTACTCACTCTCTCCTACTCACTTCTACATTAACATTAGATGCCCCGCACATCTCTACACCTTTATAAACAGCCTGTCTCAGCAGATTTCTCTCTTTTTTCACCTGAAGACGATTGCTTGTGTTGCGATCGAAACGACGTGATTTAGATTTTTGTATTTTTTTCTATCTATGTGGATTTACCGAAAGACCCAAAGAATATGAATTTCTGCAGTCATGAAAGCGTTAAGTCACGTCTCTGCCTCTCTGATGCAATAAACATTGCGTATGTGCTAAAACTTGACAAGATTATCAAACAACACAAAGACCTGCAGCAGAGTCTACATCATAGCCTGCAATGCAAGCTGCACGGAAAGTCTTTTGATCAAAACTATTTGACCCAATTGAATGGTAACTGGTCCAGTAGGTTTTTTGGTGCCCCTAAAACCTCACCCGAAAAAAAATAGGTTCGAATGACATTGTCAGAAATTTAACTAAGGTCACAGAGTTCATAGGGTAGTGCATTAAGCATGACCTCACCGCTCCAACCGCAAAGACAAACAGCCACCAAAACCAGCCATTCGCCACGAAGTGCCAGGCCAGGTGCACTTTGAGGCCACGTGAAGTGTCGAAGGCTCGCTGCAACAGAAGGTCACGGGACATACCCAGGTGCATTGGGTTGACTGACTGAGATGACTGGCAGATGCACCATCTGTGCCCTCTTCTGTGACAACTTGCTGCATTTTAGCCGCCCGGTGCTTCGCTCGCTGTTGTGAGCGTCACTCCTCTGCCCTCCTTTGTTGTTGGAGGGCGACTGCCTCCAATAACAGGACCAGGAGCGTCCTTCATAAGCCTCCTCCATTAGCCCCCGAATAGCCACCACACAACAACCGCCATTCGCCACTAAGTGGCGGTGACGTCACCACGACGCTTGTGCCAGGCCATGTGCACCTTGAGCCACACACACACACACATGCATACACGCAACACGGAGATACGTGCACAATTTAGGACAGCTGGTGCGGAAAGGAAAGCCAGGCAGGATTCGAGTGAGATATTCTTCACTGGTGTTGGCCATTGCCGGAAATATAACTTCGCTCAAATGGGGTTTGGAGAGCAGTGTGATAAGCCACGACCGCGTGTCACCAACGTCCCCGTGTAAGATAGTGCAATAGACACACGTGAACACGTTAGGGACAAAGATAGCTGAGCCAGAAGGGATAAGCATGAGACAAGGCAGATAGATTAATAATATACAAGCTGCGGCAAGCCAGCGGAAAACACATTTAAGTGCCACCAGTGTCTGAAGACAAGGCGACGGTGAAGGGAATTGACATTAAAAGGTTTTAAAACAATGGCTAGGGCCAGGTGTGTACACCCCTTTTCATGACTCCAGCTGAATCGTACCCTCGGGTTAACCCGGGTAATGTACACACAAACGCGCATTGACCAAACACTCCAACATGCGCACCGGTTATGATGACCGGATGTTAACAAGTCGCGTGGATTGTAAGACAATTAGAAATTGACATTGGATGAAATGTGTTTTAGATTCTGAAAATCAGTAAGGAGTACCCAGAGAAAACCCAAAAGTGTACACTGTTAGGTCTTAAATGTACTGTAGAATAAGAATGACATGTACAGTGAGGGAAAAAAGCATTTGATCCCCTGCTGATTTTGTACGTATGCCCACTGACAAATAAATTATCAGTCTATAATTTTAATGGTAGGTTTATTTGAACAGTGAGAAACAGAATAGCAACACAAAAATCCAGAAAAACGCATGTCAAAAATGTTATAAATTGGTTTGCATTTTAATGAGGGAAATAAGAATTTGACCCCCTCTCAATCAGAAAGATTTCTGGCTCCCAGGTGTCTTTTATACAGGTAACGAGTTGAGATTAGGAGCACACTCTTAAAGGGAGTGCTCCTAATCTCAGCTTGCTACCTGTATAAAATACACCTGTCCACAGAAGCAATCAATCAGATTCCAAACTCTCCATCATGGCCAAGACCAAAGAGATCTCCAAGGATGTCAGGGACAAGATTGTAGACCTAAACAAGGCTGGAATGGGCTACAAGACCATTGCCAAGCAGCTTGGTGAGAAGGTGACAACAGTTGGTGCGATTATTCGCAAATGGAAGAAACACAAAAGAACTGTCACTCTCCCTCAGCCTGGGGCTCCATGCAAGATCTCACCTCGTGGAGTTGCAATGATCATGAGAACGGTGAGGAATCAGCCCAGAACTACACGGGAGGATCTTGTCAATGATCTCAAGGCAGCTGGGACCATAGTCACCAAGAAAACAATTGGTAACACACTACGCCGTGAAGGACTGAAATCCTGCAGCGCCCGCAAGGTCCCCCTGCTCAAGAAAGCACATATACTTGCCCGTCTGAAAATTGCCAATGAACATCTGAATGATTCAGAGGACAACTAGGTGAAAGTGTTGTGGCCAGATGAGACCAAAATGGAGCTCTTTCGCATCAACTCAACTCGCCGTGTTTGGAGGAGGAGGAATGCTGCCTATGACCCCAAGAACACCATCCCCACCGTCAAACATGGAGGTGGAAACATTATGCTTTGGGGGTGTTTTTCTGCTAAGGGGACAGGACAACTTCACCGCATCAAAGGGACGATGGACGGGGCCATGTACCGTCAAATCTTGGGTGAGAACCTCCTTCCCTCAGCCAGGGCATTGAAAATGGGTTGTGGATGGGTATTCAAGCATGACAATGACCCAAAAACACACGGCCAAGGTAACAAAGGAGTGGCTCAAGAAGAAGCACATTAAGGTCCTGGAGTGGCCTAGCCAGTCTCCAGACCTTAATCCCATAGAAAATCTGTGGAGGGAGCTGAAGGTTCGAGTTGGCAAACGTCAGCCTCGAAGCCTTAATGACTTGGAGAAGATCTGCAAAGAGGAGTGGGACAAAATCCCTCCTGAGATGTGTGCAAACCTGGTGGCCAACTACAAGAAATGTCTGACCTCTGTGATTGCCAACAAGGGTTTTGCTACCAAGTACTAAGTCGTGTTTTGCAGAGGGGTCAAATACTTATTTCCCTCATTAAAATGCAAATCAATTCATAACATTTTTGACATGCGTTTTTCTGGATTTTTTTTATTGTTTTTCTGTCTTTCACTGTTCAAATAAACCTACCATTAAAATTATAGACTGATCATTTATTTGTCAGTGGGCAAACGTACAAAATCAGCAGGGGATCAAATACTTTTTTCCCTCACTGTATCTACACTAGACTAGGTAATAGCTTAAATATAAAGGCGCCGCCCTGCAATTGCTTGCTCGTGCCACGACTGGCGAAAGGGTGTTCAAAAGAGCGAACTCGAGCGAGCGCCTCTAGATGGTGTTTGGTCTACTCTGCCGCACTCGCCAGATGTTTCGCCAGAGGTGACAGCACCCACACTTTATCCTACGACCGCATGTGACCTTCCTATCAAAGGTCACGTGTTGCTGGGTGGAAACGTGTCCATTGTTTCAACATGCTGCGCTGGAAAAATGGGATTCGAACCGGCGACCTCTGGATTGCAAAACCGGTGCGCTTACCACTTCCACAATGGCAGCAGCTCCCAGAGATTGTATTCGACTGAGGGAGGGTAGGGGGGAAACCCTCCATTGCAATGAAACGCACAACACCTGTCCATCCCCACACACACGCATCCGTCTTTGGAAGGACACTGCCATCCACTTTCATCAATCCACGCAAAAGCCTTGCTCACACAAAGCGAGTTCAGGGTTAATCGCTGATATCGCTTTAACATACAGAACTTGACAGCCAAACGCATAGACACTGGTAAGCCAAAAATTGGCCACAAAGGGCTCTTCTTGTGCGGACACGTACAGGCCTTTTGTCAAACTACTGCTGAATGGATGTATGTATGTTTAACTTATTTCGCACCGTACGTAGCCAACCATGCTAATTTGAGGTGTGGGGAAGGGCATCAAACTGAACACAAAAAGCAGTTTCAAAGAAATTAGTTATCAATCTAGATTTGGATGAGGACCTCCTTATATGCAGTGCAGGCCATGGGGGTTATTTAAGCTTACATCGTGTTACAAACCTGCTGATCCTAGTTCAATTCCCCAGCCATAGCTAATATTATCTGAACGAACGAGTCTTGAGCCTCCCCAAGGTCGACTCAGTCTTGAATGAGTAGCCGCTGTGGTTGTGTAAAGTTCAGCAAAGTTCAGACAAAGGTGGCCAAGCTTGGTACTGGCCACCCACTCACGTGCCTTACTGGCTTTCATATCTGCTCATTAACAGCTCTTGCCCAGTCTGTTTGGCTACAGGAGGATGTTTTTATTTTTGTACACACACAAAAACATTAACTGGCACTGCATACTAATTAGGAGGATTTGCCTGTCTTAGGAGAAGTAGCATCGTGACTAGCACTGCACTGCATTATCATCCCAGAAAAACAGAATTTATTCCTGGCCACTCCTATAAATTGACAGAGCGAGGGACAGTGTTTATCCAGCAGTGGATTGAAGAGGAAATGTGTTTCCAAATGCCAAAGGCAATCCACTGCTGGATTGATGGCATTAATCTGTGTATATTCTCTGATCCGTGTGTTCCTCATGTGGACATTTATATCACCAAAATGCTCTAAACAAATGTTTCTAAATGCGGAAGAAAAAATCAGAGGGATCGGAGGAAAATCCACGCAACCACGGGGAGAACATGCAAACTCCAAACATACAGCAAGCGTCAGGGTTGGAATCGAACCCACAACCTCCTGTTTACCAGGACGAGGAAGCTAACATCTTTGGCAAAGTGGCGTACCTCCAATTGCTGTGGGCTCAAATACAATTATCTCACGGCGGAGTTAAGGTGCTGGTACTTCTCCACCCAATGGAGCAGGCCACACCAGAGTGGCTGGTAGGTGCACCGCTTTACTCCCCCCCCCCCCCGCCCTTCTGTCTATTGTTCACCCGATGCTCTGCTCATTGTCGTGACCATAAACTTCACAATTTCTCAGTGTTGTTGCTTAAAGGAAGCTAGCAGCCTGTGCCACGAGAGAAAAAGCTCCGGTCACACACACCTTCAAGAAGGTCGCTAGCATGTTCGTCAAACAGTATAAGTGATCACGTGAAACGCCGGTCATCCTCGCAAGCGGCTTTTGGAATAGCCATCGAACAAAGACGGCCGCCGCATCGCGCTGCACTTTCAGACGCGCTTCTGCGGACGTCTGGAACGCTCTTCCTTCCGATACTAGGAAGCCACTGGGAGAAACGCACCTCTAAAAATAGATTGAAAACTCATTTCTTTAAGACTGCTTTTTGCGTCTAGTTTGTTGTCCTTCCCCCGCACCTCCGATTGGCACGGTTGGCTACGTGCGGCGCGAAAGAAGTTCTATACACGCACGCACAACGCAGGCACAATGCCGCACAATGCACGCGCGCACCTTGAAGAAGGTCATGGTGGATCCGTCACGCACGGCCCCGTACTCGATGCGCGTCTGCTTGGCGAGGTCGTCGGCGGAGCTGATGGGCGACTCCATGCGCTCCACGGTGAGGAAGGCGGCCAGGTTGGCCGTGTAGGACGAGATGATGATGAGGGTGAAGAACCACCAGATGCCGCCCACGATGCGCGTCGACAGGGCCTTGGGCATCAACTCCGAACCTGGGGTGTGGATCGTCTTAGTCATCATGATCATCGTCAGTCGAAAGGTTGACAAACTTATGCAAAAACATCAAAAAGACATCCTCATCATCATCATTCCCCCGCACCTCCGATTAGCATGGTTGGGGACATACAGTGCGAATGAAGTTCAACATACGTGAATCATCAAACACGTTTTCAGTGAATTCTGGACGATGTTGGCATTGGACATTTTGCGGAGATGAGCTTAGAGTGTGGATGGTAATCATCATTAATATAAAGTCATCATCACCATCATTTGTTATCGTCATGTAAATCGCAACAAATATCTATAAATATCACAAATTACTAAACTCAATCATCATAAATACAAATATCATTATCGCCAACACACAAACGACAATCATCATAGTCTTCATCATCAATAAATACACATACATAAGTAAAACTAATCATAATCAGCAAATATACATATTTTAATTATCATATGTTTCATCATAAGTATACATGTTGCTCATCTTTAAAAATCCACCGAGAAAATAACGAATAGCATTTCCGTCATCATCATCATTCACCTCACTGAAGATTTACATATACAAGTGTAAAACCATGAGAGAGAGTGAGAGCTTGAATAAGAATAAATAACGCTCGTTAATTGAACAGGGTATTATATTTGTTACAATGTTTGTATTTTTATACACGTAAAAAAATCTCAAATATATCACAAACGAAGTTATCATCAAATTGAGCCCTTGCTCCCCGCAGTTGCCAGAACATACTCCACGGACAGAAAGCTCCCTTCACTCTGCTGTCAGGATACGGAGCTGCCTCCCTGAACATAGTGACAGCGAAATCACCGCTTCCGGTCTTCAGGCCTTCAAATGCCGAGCCCCACACGTGGACCTCTCCTAACTTCACCACACGCCTTGAGGGACCGAGTCATTGAGCTGCAGTGAACTAATGGCTAAGACCGTTTTTGGGGTTAGAAGGCGTGATTATGAATGTGTCGTGAAACCCGCTGCCATCCGACACAGCCAATGAGTGAGGTTTGTCACGTAAATAAGTGATCAAGAGCGTTAAATAATGTTAAAGAATTAAAAATGTAAGTTATTTAAGTGTATTCACGATCTGTGAATAAAAAAAAAATCAAACAACAGAAATCATGCCATAAAAGGGTTGCTTCATAATTAATTTTCAATTATTACCAACCTTTGTCAAGCATCAATGTGTGCAATACATTAAACATTATTTTAGTATAACATGTGCTTTGAACTGTGCAGTAAAAAAAATGTCTTAAACAATTAATTACATAACCAAAATAAAAATACGAGTAAATTATAATAATATTTATTAATTTTGCTTTTGCCTAAAGCATTCCAGGGGCTTATTGGCATTAAGGAACTTAAGTTTATTTTTGTAAATATGGTACCGTAATTTAAAAACGTAATTACGGAATGGAACAAAAATATTACCGTCGCCTTCCGCTCTTAAACAAACATACCTGATCCTGCAAAGGCCCCCATACCACTCAATTAGGCAAAATGCCTTACACGTGCAATAATTCACCAACAGCAACTAACGCTACCTTCCCAGCGGTTGCGAGGCAATTCATCATAATCCATCATCATCATGGTAATAAAACCTGGTTTCACTGCCTGGAGGCACATGCAGAATTGTGATTACCAGTTACGCTGGCCACAGGGGACTTGCGGCAGGGCTGTGGCTGGTGGAGGGGATGGGGCGCGGGGTGGGGGGGCCACTTGAGGCACTGGCGCTGAGATGAAGCGAACTGCTGATCCCCCAACCCCACCCACTGACCCAGGTTCAAGCCCCGCACGAGTAACAAAAATAGAATAACAAGGCTAGGTCGAAGATGACGAGGGGGTCTACGGTTGGGGTCGCGAAAGGGTTAACCTGGCAGCCGATAGATTATCAGCCTGAGCTGCCGCAATCGAATTGCTCGCGATTTCCGCCGACGGGACGCGACGGGAAAAAAAAAACCTTGCGCGCATCCAGTTGAGTGCGCGGGGAATGTTGCGAGGCAGGAAAGGGAGCGGGTGGAATGACACAGGACACGCGTGTCTTCCCGTTGTCGTGAGTGAGAATAGTGTTACCCATAATTTTGCATACATGGTGGTAAACGAACTAAGATTTATTTTTTTGACCAGGTAAGGCTCACTAAGGTTATATGTAGCTCTTTTTCAGAAGCGACCTGGCCACAAATGACAGCTCAACGAAGTAGCTTATCAATGGGCAAAATTGATAGCGGCCAAATACCATAAACGTGTGTTTAAAATGTGGTGGGAAAAATACTGGAGGACTCGGAGAAAAATCCACGCGCCCACGGGGAGAACACGCAAACTCCAAATATACAGACATCGTCAGGGTCGGGATGAAACCGACGACCTCCTGCATACCAGGCGAGGTAGTTAACATCTCGCCACCGCGGCACCCGCTTAGCGCGGACAGTCAATTTGATCGAGGACGCCACTTGTGATCGTTTCTACCTCACGTCTGCCTCCGTGGTAATGCGCAGGGACTTGGTAAGCCAGAGCTGAACGTCGCCAAAAATGTGGGGTCTCACTTTACCTCTGTTACAGCATCATCCTTTCTTCAGACGTTCGGGCGGGGAATTTTCCACTGATCTCACCCCACTCTGCGTTCTCCCTCTGAGTCGTGATAAATCACTATGTAACACGATTTTTGTTCCTGGGTAGTAAGTGTTATTTTCTAATTGCTTATGCCTCAAAAGTATAGAAAATGGCTATTATTCCCCACAAACGTTACTTTTGTGACCAGTTCTTCGTGTGAAGGAATGACACAAATGCACACCACGTTTTCTTATTGAAAATAGGTAAATTTCAAAATATCAATGTCCTGGTCACAAAAGCAAAGTTTGTGGGGAATAATAGCCATTTTCTGCACTTGTGAGGCATGAGCAATAAGGAAATAAAACTTACTACACAGGGACAAAAAAATGTGTTGCACAGTGTTATTAATGGAGTGGATTATTAACTATGCGTTTGTGTCCTGGTCACAGGAGCAAAGTTTGTGGGGAATAATAGCCATTTTCTGCACTTTTGAAGCATAAGCAATTCGAAAATAACACTTACCACCCAGGATCAAGATTAGTTTTTGTTGACAAGTATAATAAAATGGTGCCGCGCACATTCCGTTTTTGGCGTGGATTATTTAGCGCAAGGCAATTGTAGAGGGAACTTTTACCACAGAAGGCTATGTAGGTCTGCCTAGTGGGGGAAACGATTTTGCTATGCTGAAGGTGAATTGTTAACACGGGACGCTTCTCTTCGGCAATTTGCCCGGCTATTTTACACGGGAGAGATCCGCGGTGCGTTCGCACAGCGGCGGAAACAACAAAACAAATATATATTTTTTAAAAACTTCAATGATGCGGAGAACAAGTAACGGAGCCCTTGAAGAGTATTGCACAACTAACAAACGAGGTGTTTAACGGTCGTACATGAGACACACGCAAACTATTACGAAAAAAAGCCCGGTGGAAATGGATTATATGAAAAACGTCGAGGTCCATGTGCAAGTACGATCTAGATTTTAGACTAACAGCAGCAGAAATGCACGCAAATAATGTGTCGGGGGGAGGGGTAAGAGGCTTCAACAAAGAGTGAGGAACCTACGTGGTTTTACCGAAATAAGTAATTAGCAAGTAACGAAAAAATGTACAATAACAAAAAACATTTGGGCCGTGGCAATTGGCACACACGTGGCCTATTTTGGAACGACATCGCGTGATCGTTGACATCCAGTGTGAATCACGCGCACTTGTTGGCCAGCATTAATCAGGGCGGATGTTCGTCTCGAGCCGCGAACCTCTGCAGCAAGCCACGGACGCGTCACCACGCAACACCGGGCAGAGATCGATCAAACTTTAAATGCAAATTCTGAGTGCATTTATTCAATTTTGTTGTCGTTGTTGTTACATTAATCGTGCACCCAGCGGTGATTATTTACGGTATATACCGCAAGCCTCAAAGATTGGCGGCGGGGGGGTCTCTCCCTCTGGCCGGAGAGCAACAATCTCAGGGCTGCTGGCTCAGTACCAATCATTAGCCCAACACCTCCAGGGAGGTGCCCCCAAAGCCATGTTCGACGAATAGGTTTATACCACGAGTCATTACGGAAGGAATCCCGGGGCAACCCGCTCGCTAAATACGTCCGCGAATGCACCTGCAGGCACGGCACTTTTGGCACGCGACGCACGTCTTAAAGAGCGCCTGTATGTGCGTATGCTGAGCTTCGTTCACACCCGACGTAGCCAACCGCGGTAATCGGAGGCGCGGATCCCAGACAGCAACTCGAACCTGCGTGTTTTTATCCAATAGATTGAAAACTAATTTATTCAGCGCTGCTTTTTGTGTTTTTGTGTATTCCCGCCACCTGCGATTGGCGCAGGTTGGCTACGTACGGTGCGAAATAAGTTCAACATGCGTGCGTATATAGAACGTTCATACGTTGTTTATAGTACGTTCATACGTTGCATATAATACGTTCATACGTTGTTTATAGTACGTTCATACGTTGTATATAGTACGTTCATACGTTGTATATAATACGTTCATACGTTGTTTATAGTACGTTCATACGTTGTATATAATACGTTCATATACGTTGTTTATAGAACGTTCATACGTTGTATATAGTACGTTCATACGTTGTTTATAGTACGTTCATACGTTGTATATAGTACGTTCATACGTTGTTTATAGAACGTTCATACGTTGTTTATAGTACGTTCATACGTTGTATATAGTACGTTCATACGTTGTTTCGCCACGAGTGTACGGGCGCGATGGGCGAGCCGTTCCGGGGTCAGTGAACTTTGCTGAACTTTACACAAGCACAGCGGCCACGCATTCAAAACTGAGTCTTCCTTGGGGAGGCTCGAGACTCGTGCAGATATTCGCCACTGATGTTAGCTATGGCTGGGGAATTGAACTAGGATCACCGGATTTGTAGCATGATGATGCAAGCTTAAATAACCCCCGCGACCTGCACTGCATAAGGAGGTCCTCATCTAAATCTCGATTGAAAACCCATTTCTTCAGAACTGCTTTTTTGTGTTTAGTTTGTCCTTCCCGCCCCACCCTGCACCGCACCTCCGATTAGCACAGGTTGGCTACGTACGGTGCGAAAGAAGTTCTACATGCGTACGTACGTGCGTACGTTGTGTTGCCACGAGTGTGCGGGTGCGATGGGCGAGCCATGCAAACCACCACCGCGTGCCACGAGTCAGCGGACGCAGCGTGGGGCCTCCGTTTACCAACACCGGTGCGACCGGACGACGCCACGTGGTGTTGCCGGCCAACGTCGACGGCAATTTTTTTTTTAAAGAGAACCTTCGAACGAGCAATCGATTGCGACAGCTCTGGATGATATTAATTAGACGGGTCGAAGCAAACCGTGCTTAGCGAAAATCTGTGAAGGTCCACAATGCTGACACTTGCATGGCAGACCGTAATATTGTGAGCATTGCAGGCAACCGGCAGCCTTTTATCTCTCCCTCTCTGTTACGGATATCGAAGTCATCGTGAGTTGACCGAAGGGACCCTTGGCTGAGATTTATTTATCAGTCAACACTAGCGATGGCTGTGCATCATGCCTAGGTATCGAGCATTAGTTACTGGGAATATAGCACCAAACACACACTCCGGCAAGTCTTCCACATACAAATCAAATACAAGTATCGCCAGCAGTAGTGCTCGCATCACACCGGTACTCACTTATGGCCGAGCGAACATCGGAGAAGTACAAGACATCTATTGGTAACACTTGACAATGATGTGCGTGGCCAGGAATAGGACCCGGGTAGTTGGGTCACATTGTGGTGAAACGAGGCATGACGCTACCACACCTCGCTACTCCTTCATAAACATGATGAAGCAAGTATTATTTTACGAGCACCGATTGAGGCTGACACAAAACACGTTAGACAGCGGTGCGGACAACAACTCTATTGCTGGCTGCCTTTGTCTCCCCGAGTGCTGATGTTCACACACTGCACCAGGTACTCATTCATGGCTCAGTCGACCTGGGAGAGGCCCCAGACCGGTTCGAACATTCGCAGCTATTAATTACTGGCCGTGAGCGGGACTGGAGCTCGGGATCCGTGGCGCAATTCGCGAACGGCTGCACCACCGCTCCGCACTGCAGCCACATGCCGCACACGCCCCATACTCACTTGCACGTAATTTCCCCCCTTCCCCGAGTCCAAATTGCCACTTTCAGACCTGTCATTCCCTGCCACCTTGACAATGGCGCGGTTTTATTTTTAAGCATGATCTTATAATATGCCACTTGGAGTCAGCATAGCAGAAGTCCAGTTCGACACAAAATGACTCAAAATCGTACAATCACCTGATATTTAGCCCAGAGGGGGGGGGGGTTTCTATACCCCCCTCCTGCCACCACTCCGCACAATTGTCCCTCCCCCCCCCCCACCCCTTGCCGTGCGTTCCCAAGAAGTGCCGGGGACTGTTTGTTAAAAAAAAACCCCGAGCAAACATCGAGTGGGCCACCCGGTCCGGCTCGTGAAACGGTGTGCTAGGGCAATTACAGCCAACATTGTTTACTCGTTCGATTTCTGTCCAAAGGCTAATACTTGTGCTTTAAATGACTTGCACCTTGTGTTTGAATTGCCGAGCCATTCTGGAGCGAGGCTTTCCACCGGCGCTGATGCACTCATTTCCTGCAGCCTAAAGGGTGAATGTGTCTAAGTGGTGCTTCTGCGTGCGCTGGGTATGGGGTAGCTTCAGAGGACTTAAAGGGATCCAACATCCGTTCTCACTGTGTGCATGTACGTTGAACTTCTTTCACACCGTACGTTGACAACCGTGCCAATCGGAGGTGCGGGGGAAGCACGACAATCTAAACGCAAAAAGCAGTTCTAAAGAAATGAGTTTGTCAATCTCGATGATGATTTAAAAGTGCACAGCTCTCAGTGGCTTCCTAATATCGAAAGGAAGAGCGTTCCAGACGGCCGCAGAAGCGCACCTGAAAGCGCCGTGCGATGCGGTGCAGGTGTCAATGGGCGCAAGCCCACGGTTCCTAATGGGACAACGACAATATTAATTTTGCTTTGCGGCCAAATATCGCCCTAAATGTGCCCCATCTCATAAGATCTTGCAAGCAAAGCAGGGCGATGAATATGAGGGTGCTGCCAGGGAATCTCCATTGTGGTGTTGTGCGGCTCGATACGGCCAGCGGCAGTGCAGTGTCAAGGAGCCGGTCGCCGGCGACAGATGTTCTAGATCCACATCCTCGAGTCTCTGAGCCACATTTGCAACAGACTTACAATGCCGTCCTTTCCAAAGAGCTTTCCGTGTGTTATCAGCGCGCATTCGCGATGGATCAGACTCAAAGAGGGAGCGATAACAAAGTGTTCGGACTTTATATTCGTAGTTCTTTCGGTAAAGTCACGTTGAAGGGAAACAACAAAATAATAAAATATATATATAACAATAAAAATTCTCACGACGTTTCGACCATAACACAAACGGTCGTCTTCAGGTGTGTTGGTTTGCATAAATTTATTTTTAAACGGTGTATTTATTTATTTATAAAAAAAAAACGTTAGCGCCACGCGCAGCGATTTGGCAGTTTATTTAGGACTAGTCCATCTATATTCTGAAAAGAGGAGGGGAAAGACAAAAATTGTTCGGACTTTACTCGCTGTCGAAGCGTTGTTACCGCAAATGCCCTCTGCTGCCCACCGAGTAGACCCACGGCGACCTACAGCACCTGTTATGCACGCTGGTCACCCAATGCAAGAAACTCTCCATGCTCAACATTGCTTAGTTTCCGCGATCTGACGACATCTCGGTACATTCGAAGTGATGTTATCGCAGGCAGGAAGTTAATAATGCAGTTCAGATGTGTAGCTAAACATTAAAACAAACTCTACTTGTGGTAAAGACAGTGGACATGTAGATTACAGAGGTGTACATATATACACATTAAGGTACAAAGATGACCAGACCACAAGGACATTAAGAATGATGCACAGAAGTTCAAGGATAGGAAAAAATCACTCTTGGACACATTTCGGGTGATTTGCTCCGAGACAAATGGCTCAGGAACCTGTCACCAATAAAGAGAGAGGCATAAAACGTCGCACCGATTAATCAATGTTTTCACATTGATCACATCCAGGTGGTGCTCACATCGATTCACCAATGTGATTGATCAACGTGAACACCACCTGAATGTGAAATTGTATTTGTTACTTTCCGTCGACATCAGCCATCACGTTGAAAGAACAAGACAGCGTTCACACGAAGGTGACACGGCCACTTCATCCGTACCTTGCTGCATGAGGGCTCCCACTCCGAACCAGAAGCTGTTGAGCATCGTGAAGTTATTCTCCACCACGTCCGAGTCCGGGTTGCACGGGTGGGGGTTGTACCACTCGTAGGGACTGAACCTGGGCGAGGTGCGCAAGTGAGCGGGCAAGCAGACACAGCCGAAGCATAACGCGCACAAAGACAAATATCTCCCCATGCACGTAGCCTCGAACAGACTGTTGGGGCAAGTGCCGTTAGCGAGCGGCACTCGCTATGTAGGCCAGCACTGTCGCACACGAGGGGGTGGTTGGCCAGCACCACTCCCGGCCGCCTCTTGTGGCCCCGGTGCCAATGCTTACACACCACACCAGGTACTTATTTAAGGTTGAGTCGACCTAGGGGAGGAGTCCCAGCACCGGTTCAGATACCCGTCACCGATGTTGCCCGTGAGCAGGGAATCGAACTCGGCTCGCTGGGTTCAAAGGGCGGCGCGCTAACCGCTGCGCCACGCCTCCTCGCCGTGCGCCCGCACGCACGCGCATAGCAGCAGCATCAGGGACGGCGAGCAACTTCCAACCCTCGTCCAACTCACAGCCCCACTGAGAATAATCAACGGAGGGGTAACGGTAACAGTGCAGCCCTGCAAATCCTCGAGTAAAGGATGGGGGGAGGACAAGCACCACGATCAACACAGCGTATACTCGTCGAAGGCCGAGTTGACCTACTGGATGGTTGCAGTCGTTTAATGCGAAGCGGTGAGTTCCCTCTGGTGTGCGTGTCTACATGGTAAAGGCAGAGAGGTACAACGTGCAGGTAGCCCTGAAATTACTTGCAGATGAGATTGTAGTGTTCTTCTTATTTGTGTGTGTTGCCGGAGGTATTACCGTGCAAGCATTGTGGTGGCGTCGTTTATTTAAACATGCTCCTAAGATGTATTTTTTGTCAAGTAACAAGTACAAAGAGGTAAAACCCTGCAATGACTAAAATGTAACACGTACGTGTCTGCGACCATTATTATGGAATGTGTTTGGCTGAAGCCACAGCTGGTGGAAGGGCTTCCACTTCAGCGAACTCCAGAGCCCCTCTCGAGAGTATTTGGCCTACTCTTCCACGCTGGCCAGAAGGTCTTGGGAACATTTGAGAGCACCCACACTTTTCCCCACCACACGTGAACCTGCTGATCGACTAACTGCGATGGACGCATGAACACTCGCAGGCATTAACATTGTTCTCTGTATGCCAGGAGGGTCCTGCTTTGAATGTTTGGACAATTATTTAAATCGGTATGTTTATTATCACGTGTTATTTTGTGCGGGAGGAAACTGGATTGCCCACAGAAATAATTTGCGTTTGCAAAGGAATAATGCTGAGATACCTCCTACAGAGGACACCGTGTAAATATCCCTGTGTTCCTATCAAAGTAATTAATTTCAGAATTTGCAAATATGAAACCATGTGCACTGTCTCAGCAATGAGTTTTTTTTTGCGCAGATTATTGGGAAATAAAACACCTGGCTATATAGAAAATAATGGCAATGTCATGCAAATAACTAAACATTCTTGAGAAAATAAAACCATAACATTCACCATTTGTTATTCATAAGGGTAATGTTTCGTTATTAACACAAATGTGATAATTATTTTTGTTTAACTTTGAGGTCCCTTCCCAATACATTTTTAAGAGCACGGAATATGTATTTTTTTTTAGCTCTTTCCAAAATTGCATCAAATTATTTTGGCAGTTTGGGAATGGCCGTTTACATTGTGGCATTAACATAACATCACCTTCTCTACCATTCCTGTTATTTCACACCATCGTGCATGCCCAATTCTGAATGCGAATGTTATTTTTTGATTGCTAAAGAAAGACACGGTGTTTTGTGTGTGCATTTATGATCTTGCCCATAAATACATTTGTCATATATATATTTTTTAAGTGCCAACAGCAAAAAGAAAATTTCCATTAGCGATTTAAATAGGGAGAACTTTTTGGGGGTTGCACAATAGAGGCATCTGGATCATGACAAATAAGTAGGCCGAGGAAAAAGGTAGTTTCATAAAAGACTAGAGTCAAGCTAGAATTGAGCACACAACCGAAGAGAAAATAATCAAATAGAATGACAAATCACAATGAGATGGAGCAGAGAGGGCTCGCTGAGAGGGTCACGCAACAAAGACAAAGATCGCCCGTATAGCCGTAACAGACTGTTGGGGCAAGTGGTGCTAGTGAGCACCGATGCAGGCCGAACCGCTTTTGTCTCCCTAGTGGCGATGCTTACACACCGCATCAGGTACTCATTTCAGGCTGAGTCGACCTAGGGGAGGCCCAGGACCGGATCAAATATTCGCCACTGTTATTGGTCGTGATCGAGAACCTTCCAGTAATATAAATAGCGCGCTAACCGCTACACTGCCGCTCGCCACAGAGCACCCGCACGTACACACAGACACACACGCAAGCTCACTCGATGATGCACGCACGCACGCATCGACAAGCACACGCACGGAGAAAAAAATCGCACGCTTCGGTTGCTGCAGCAATGCCGCCCAAGGCCACATACAGCACACCTACAGTTAACAGAGATGTGAAGGGAAATGTTCAACAGCCCATAGGATGCATGCATGCATGCAGACATATACACGCACGCACACAACCATTCCAGGATATCCCAGTTGTACCCAAGCAAATTGGGCTCGTGCTGAGTGGGTTAGTTCTGGCCAAGTATCACGCCCGGCCGCCTTTGTCTCTCCCAGTGCCGATGTTTTACACAACCACACCAAGTGCCCATTTAAAGGCTGATTTGACCCGGGGTTTAAATCAACGCTGATGTTGGCAACGAACGGGAATCAAACACGGGCGGCCCGGTTTGTATAGCAGTGCGCTGACCACTACAATACCACACACCGAAGACAAAGATGCCCTATATAGCCGTTAACAGGCTGTTGGGGCAGGTGTTGTCAGCAAGCACCAATTAAGGCTGGCAGGACATACGAGATGGGTGGCTAGTACCACGCCCGGCCGCCTTTGACTCTCTCTCTCGTTACGAAATTTACACCATCACACCAGGTACTCATTTGAGGCCAAGTCGAACCAGAACAAGCCCAAGACTGGTTCAGATAATTGTCACTGGTGTTGCCAGCGAGCTGGAATTGAACTCGGGTCGCCGGGTTCTTAGTGCAGCGCACAAATCGCGGCGCGTCCGCTCCCCACGCACACACACGCACAAAGGCACGCGCACGCACGCACACGCGCACGCATTCATGTGCACACTCGCCCATGGATGTCGTCACGCGTGTATGCATTAACACTGAACGCACTCGTTATTTATGCACGCACGTGCACGTGCCGTGATGTTATGCATGCGCATCCCTGCCAGCATGCAGAGTCACAAATGCACTTGCCCGTGTGCAAACGTGTATTGACGTGTTAGTGATTACGTTCATGAAGTTGAGCTGGAAAATGTAAATGACCATCTTCATGTGCGAACAAAAATTGCCAGCGCGGTTTCGATCCACTGCTGGATGAAGGCCGCGTCACGCCACGTTTATAGCGGGGTGGGTGGGGGTCGTTTCGACCATATCTCACCACGCTGGTCAGCGTGGGTTGGTGAAAGGTGAAAGGCGAGGACCGATTCAGATATCGCTCGCCCACGGATGCTGGCCGTGACCAGGAATTGAACTCAGGATGCTGGGTTCATGGCGCAGTACACGGACCATTGCGTCGCCATTCCCATCCCTTGTGCATTTAAGTTTTTTTTTTAATGATTTTGCTTAGTATTACCAGTACAATTACATTTTTTGTATTATTATTTTCTTTCTCCCACAAACACAATTCATATTATCAGCGACCAAAATCAAAATCCGATGGCTGAATGCCACAGTATCTAGAATGGTTGCGCAAAATAAAACCAGCACGTGTCCACAAACAAAACATGAGAAGACAAAAGCACAATGCCGTGTCATAAACAAATGAAATTAAACATGTCACTTACCGAATTCTCGCAGGGTTAAAAAAAAAATAAACGATGACAATAATCAAACATTCATGACGCACTGTGATTTTGAACTTGAGAGAGAAAAAAAAAGGACGTATGTTCTGTTCCAACTTGGGCCACAGTTTTCATGCAGTTGTCGTTACAAGACCAACAGCTATTCGCGGTTTTTGGATCTGGCGTGGCTGTACGGATTCTCCGCCAAACTCTCTCACCAGGGGGGGACTCAGTCTCCAGTCCGCCACCAGCACGGGACCCACTCGAGTTTAAAGGCCAATCCTGCGGAGCAAACCTTGGCGGGTGACCCGTGTGTCGTGAGCCGGCCGGCCGGGACATCAGGCGAGATGCTTCCCTGGCTATGCGTCACACGCCGCACGAAAAATGGGGACAGCCAATAGCAGGCAGATGACCACATGGCAGGGGTGAGTCAGTCACCTCATTGGATGTTCAATGTGGACCTCCCAAAAAGTGGTACTCATCGTATTGAGCCATAGATTTAAGTGCCTGAGGCATCTCCTCATGAGGTGTGTTTAACTTACAAACCTTCCAATGACTGCGAAATGATTCACAACTACAATAATATTAGAAGTCATCAAATTCAATCCACGACATCCATTTATGTTGTTGTACGCGATCTCACATTTGAAATAATTATGAAATCAATTTGGTTAGCTCACAGCCATGAAGGCCAAAGCACTGCTGTACAGCAGTCATGTCTGTGGTGTGGCAGCATATGTAAAGGCAGATGTTTTTAAAATTCTGATTCCAAGCTTTCTGCGACAAGGATGGCAATCGGTGGTTTAGAGCCGCAGTGATAATTACAGCGTCAGCACATATGATCAGAGTGGCAGGAGACCTTCAATGCTTTAATCTGCCAGCATGAATCAAAATTTATAATTTAGTAAATTTAGCATTCGCCGCATTTGTATAGCACAAGGCTACCGTGAAGGTGTTATGTTTCACGGACGGCGATAGTCTACCCTAGGTGTCCATGTTGCTATGTCGTTTCACCACATTAAGTAATAATCATATGGATGGTGAGCTAATCAAGCCACTTGGACAGTACGCATGTAAATGTGTAAATTTGCTCTGCAGTATTGGCAAGGCTACGGCGATACTGGTGGGAACATTCAAAACCGGCCGGTGGA